CCGGAGAGAAATGAGTGGCTTCGGTGAGAGAAGGTGGTCCATAAGGGGGAAAAGGAGAGGGGGGAATGAGAAAAGGTTGGTGCACCTGAGAAAATATCGTTCGACTGGAATAGAAAAAGTATGTTTGGTGGCATAACATGCCCACCTGGATTCAAGTGCTTGCATTTACGACTATTTATTGTTTTAATGCTAGACGATATACTCAGTGGACAAGTTAATTATGGTGACTTCATTGATATAAAGATATATCGGCTCAGTCTGTATATGAGTGTGGGTGTGAGCATTTATAGGGTGAGTTTGTGTGTGTTTATATGAGCAAGTGTACCCAGTAATATATGGAATCGAGAATACGAAGTGTTGTGCTCCAACAAAGTCATGGTGTCCGTATGAATTGAACACCGGTACTAGCCCGGTTTTGTGGACTACAAAATGAAGTACAGTATATAAGAAAACGCTACAACACGCCGGTTCCTCTCTAGTACTGGAGTAGTACTCCCTCCGTATTTTAATAATATATGACGCCGTTGACTTTTTGACAAACGTTTGACCTTTTGTTTTATTCAAAAAAGATTTTAATGTATGACGCCATTGACTTTTTGACAAACGTTTGACCTTTTGTCTTATTCAAAAAATTTATGTAATTATAATTTATTTTATTGTGATTTGATTTATCATAAAATATTCTTTAAGTATGACATAAGTATTTTTATATTTACATAAAAATTTTGAATAAGATGAGTGGTCAAACATTGATTAAAAAGTCAACGGCGTCATACATTAAAATACGGTTAAAATACGGTGGGAGTACTACCTAACATGGACCGTACATCAGCTGAAGCACGAAAACCACCTTTTGTTGGTACACGCCCACACATGCCGCAGCCGTCAACGGGTAAACCAGCTGCACCAGCAGGCCCCTGATGGCCAGGCCAGCCACCATTTGAAACCAATTGAAAAAGGCAAAATTGCCAATATTCAACCAGCCTACTTTTGTTGATATTGCGGAGGAGGGGACTAAAAGTTTTTCTTTTACTTTGTGCATGTACATAGAGTTTTTGAAATTTACTCAACTCACTTTGTACTCAGGACTCCTTTGAAACATAAAATAAAAGATACAAATAAAAAAACACAGGATAAAAGGTCATTCTGTATGAAATCCTATAAAAATTAAAAACAAAAATTTATCAAATTGGTCGTTTGGATACTCCACATAAAACTTATAAAGACTTTAGAGAAAAAGTATCATTTAAGTAGAGTAGAGTTAATAGAAGAGAGATAGAGATATGGTATCTTGGACTTTCGGTAGTACAAGTTCCCGACTCCTCCTTCTCATTTTCCGCGTGAACGCTTTTCAAACTGCTAAACGGTGCGTTTTTTTTTTTAAAAAGTTTCTATATGAAAGTTGCTTAAAAAATCATATTAATCCATTTTTTTAAAAAAATAGCTAAAACTTAACTAATCACGCACTAAAACGCTGCTTCGTTTTGTGTGCCGGCTCCCGAACATAGCCTTAAAAGGAATTCAAAACTTGAGGTTTAAGCTCATGCTTGAAATCCTCCAAGAAGTGGAGGAAAAAAAATATTCGTCCGAAACTTTTCCAACCATCAAATCCTACAAACCAAAGGGCATTGAATCCTTAGAAATCCTATGAAAATCCCTCGTTCCAAATTAACCTTTAACATTGCAGTTTGACATACTGAAGTTCGTGATTAATTTTGGATGGTTTATCTATATGGAAATTTAGTGTAAAAAGTTGTACTTCCTCTGATCAATATGACGTTGAGTGTCCAAGACATTTAGCCAGTGCGGAGTAGTATACTTAATAAAAATAATGTTGGCGGCATAACAAATCAATGTGTATTAATAATATATGACATCGAGAATACGGAGTACACCCTCCTTTTTTCATGTTACTTATCTCTTAGCTTTGTCCTTAGCTAATTATTTCTAACTTTGACAACAAATTTTTCAAAACTAGTATAGTTTTTTTTAAAGAAAACGTATAGTTTACCATCATGTAAATTATACATTACGAAAATATTTCATATGGTGAAGCTAAAAATCATAAATCTTATCATTGAACTATATAATTTTTTTAGATATTAGTGGACAAATATACACATATTTAATTTAAAACAAAACTATAATGACTTTGTATTAACACTATGATTGTAGTACGATTGAGCGGCTCAGGCACCACCCTGGTTTTGTGGACTATGTAAAAGGAAAAAAAACGCTGCCACGCCGTTTCATACGGAGTACTACGGAAGTACCCTAACATGGATGTACCCCTTCCGTTGGGTAAAATCTAAATAGTGCTCGCGTACTATTTGTCCTTAGGGCATGTACAACCCACAGATAGGGGTTCGTCTCCAAGAACCTCGAAGTTATCATCCAGACAGATATAAAGACAGCTCATACAACCCATAGACAGAGGATCTGTCTGTAAGCTGTTTAATGCTTTTGCATGTAGCTTTGATCAATTGCAAATACGTTTGTGTATACCATTGTGTGGCTATATATTTGAAATAATACTATCAAGCATGAATAAGATACATGATTATAATAATTTTTAGGAACCATAAATATAATAATTATATTACAATGCCTTTAGTCTAATTTCGTCGCCAAACTTTTCAATCACCCCTTCAGCAAATTTTATAGTATAAAAGTGAGGCTTGAATTCACGTTCACATTCACAGAAACGGGCATGCACATAACTGAAGCATTCACATAAAGGAGCACATATACATAATGCCTGTAACTGAAGCATGCACATTCACATTCCAGAAAGAAACTGAAGGGTACATTCACATTCACATAAGCAAATAAGTCCTCTCGGCACTCCAACAAAAACTGAAACTGAAGCATGCACATTCACATTCCAACAGAAACTGAAGTGCACATTCGCATTTACAAATCACATTCACATTAATTCAGAAACTGAAACTGAATGAGACCTCTCGGCACTCCAACTGACCTCACAGGATGTATATATCTCCCAGGATGTATACCTCCCAGCCATGACCACAATCAAATCAATATTTAGCTCCCAGTATATACCTCCAATGATCAAGCTCTGAATTTATTTCCTAAATTTTCCTTTTCTGATCATTTGCAGATTCTCTCCGCGCGGGATCCTGCCGCGCCGTCGCCTCGGGACGACGAGCTCGTACAACGGTGCTGAGCTTGCCTCTTCCGCCTCGGAGCACGGGTCGTCGCCGTCGCCTCGCGAGAGGACGCAGCTCCCGTCGCTTGACTCAACCGGGGGGTTTTTTTTGCATAAAAGGCATCACAAAGACGGGGCAAAAAGACCCGCTGTACGTGCCCTTATCCCGTTACCCTTTCGTAAGCCGTCCAATTAGTTAATGGTAGTCGAGTTACGAACACGTGACCATCTAAGAAGCGAGTCTATTCCAATGTCAGACAAAGAGAACTGCATGCCATCCGCCAGTTATCACGTCAATTAACACTACTATTTTTTTATAGAATCTTTCATTACTTATATATTCTAGACAATATGTTATTTTTAAAATATGTTTGAACCATTATACTGTACTTAAAATATGTGACAAAACGAATCTAATATCAAATATGTTAAAATTATTTAAATTTTGTTACTTCCTAATGAGTTACTTTCTTCCAACAGTACAGTTATTTCTAGTATTTTGAAGACCTTGTAGCATTGTAGTTATTTCTGCACACCATAAAAAGATACTTTTCTCTAGCAGTAGAGTTACTTCTAATATCTTATAGAGATATTTCTAATTTTAAGAGTTAGTTCCCTGTAGGCTGTACCAGTGTAGGTACTTCAAATACCATAGAAAGTTACTTCTGTTCTTTCAAAGTTACCTTTGTAAGCAGTGTAGTTACTTCTAGGATCGTGAAAAATTACTCCGTACATGATGCTAAATTATATATGTATTTTTAAAAATAACATAGAGATCACTTTGAATGAAGAAAGTATATGTATTTATTTGAAAATCGTCCGTACGTTTTACTTGTAAATTTACTGTAAATAGCCTCACGATATAATAATTTGTAGTGCTATAAAGAGTTATTTATATTACAGAGCTAAGCTACTTCTATAATTTAATTAAATTACTTTAAAATTGATATATGTTTAGATATACTCAACACTATACTTGTTTTATTTGTTATATATTTTGAGTGAAGTGTAATAGTGCAAATAGCTCTTAAAAATACTATACGGTTTAGGAAATATAAATCATTAAAAAGTTTTAAAAAGATATAGTACGAGAGAATAATATATTGCTATTTTTAGGAAGGGTTACTCGTTGACACACGGCGGATGAGGTGGTCGCTCTGTTTAACCATGTGCTGTGTATAGACGTGTCCCTTTTGTTGGTACACGCCCACGCCGCAGCGCAGCCGTCAACGGGTAAATAAACCAGCAGCTGCACGTTAGCACGTACGCCTGCACCTCCAGGCCCCCCTGACCTGTCCCCAACCGAAAAGGCAAAATTGACGCCCAAACTGCCCATTTTTTCATCGAGAAAACCAGCAGCTAAGGCCGTGTTTAGATTTTTTTTCTTCTTCAAACGTTCAACTTTTCCGTCACGTCAAATATTTTAACACATGTATAAAGTATTAAATATAGACGAAAAAAAATCAATTGCACAGTTTACATGTAAATCGCGAGACGAATCTTTTGAGCCTAATTACACCATGATTTTATAATATGGCGCTACAGTAAACATTTACTAATGATAGATTAATTAGGCCTAATAGATTCGACTTGCAGTATATATACGACATCTATAATTTATTTTATTTTATTATTAGTATAAATTTAATACTTTAAATGTGTCCATATACTTAAAAATAAATTTGCCGCACAAACTAATCACAGACAATAAAGCTGTCTCGGCAAAGCCAAAGCGCGGCCGTTTTCCCGGGTGCCCCACCCCCACCCCACCCCACCCCGGCCCGCAGGTTTCCGTCCCAAAACCCAGCGGCGACCGACCCTGGCCTTGCCCCATGCGTCGTACAGACGAAACCGCAGTCAGTGCCGCCACCAGCTGACCTGCCTGACCAACCAAGCCGGCGGCTATTCATGGCGGCACCAAAATACCACCCGCCGCCCGCCCACCGTACCCGCGCGCGCTGCAGTCGCGGTGCGATATATAGCAACCCCCACTTGAGCTAGAATTCCCAATCCATCCAAACCCAAAATCGGAGGTAGCTACAGCCGAATCCCCCAACAGTTGTGTGCAATTTCTTGCTTGCTTGGTTTTCTTTTCCCCCCACTCGGATCGATCTCGTTGTTGTGTGAGGTTTTTTGAGCTTTGGTCGATGGCGTCGATCGTGCTGCTGCTGTCGGAGCTGCTCGGCGGCGAGAGCACCAGCGTAATGGCGGCTGACTGGTACATGAGCGGACACAGCCTCCGGGAGTTCCGGCCCGTGGCGGCTGCTCCGGCGGCGGCGGCGGCGGTGGCCAAGTGCGAGCGGCCGGCGGCCGAGGCAGCGGGGGAGAAGAAGAAGGAGGAGTCGTTCGAGGATCTCGCCGCCGTGTCCCGGATCGCGGTCGACGTGATGTGGCCTTAGAGCATCCGTCGCCGCCATCTCGCCGGAGAAGAAGAAAAAGAAAATTCTATTCTTGAGTTTTTTTTCTCTATTTTTCTCCTTTTTTTTGGTTGCCAACGAGGCATGTGTTGTGTACTGTTCTTTTTGAGATCAGATTTGTAAATATACGAAGTGATTCTTGGATGTTTTTCATGTCATTTTGTCATCGATTTTCTCCTTCACTCGTTTCTTTCACTAGTTCTCCACTCTTTTTCATTCCGTCTCAAAAACCATCACGATTCGCTCTGAAGTCTTAACCTAAATACGCACTTGCTTCTTCAGACAATGCAGTTCCCGCATCCAGATTGCTTCATAAACATTGCAGATCCTTTTATTCCCAAATATAACATCAATTACAATCGTTCGCGGTACGCGTCGAACAACAACAATTTCTCCGCTGAACTCTCAAGCATACAAGAGCAAGCAGATCGCCAGACACTCTGACAGAGAGAGATGCTACGCCAAGAGAGTCCCGGCCATCACAGTGACAGCTTCTCCCTGGATCCGGACTCTCCTGTTCTCGCCGTCCAGCTCCAAGTACAATGTTCCACTCCTTGGCGAAGCCTGACGACCATGGTATTGTGCCGTTTGTACTTATCTTTTTTTTTTCAGAAAAGTATAATGTTGGCAACAATTGTTTACCCCCTACTTGTCACAAGAAGGTAGCAAAAGGATAATACCTGAAACGCCGTAAGTTTTTGTTTCCCCAGCTTTCCACCCCAGTAAGGTGCCAGAACACAATGTGCGCTTCCACACACAGGATCCTGTAAGAGTATATCCGAGTTGTTAGTGTTTTAAAAGCCTGTGCTAAAAAATATACTACGAGAAGTTTCAAATTTTGGTCGATAAGGGGCATAGAGATTAACTTGCCAAGTTATACCAAAAGTTTCTGAACACTCAAGGAACGATACAGCCATACAGGGAATCGTCATAAAACTATCAAATGCATGATAACAAGTTTATGGAACTGTCACAAGAAATCATGACCAAAATAAATTTCAGTACTCAGTCAAATTCACACTTTGGTCACTTCACAAGTCTATCTAAAATGATGTTTTTTTAATTACTAGTTGTCGATAACCCCTTGACTCACCTTGAGGTATTAAGAGGTTCTGATTCTTTGGAGAGATTATATCAGTCATCTCTGCATCAATGCCAATGTTTTTCACCTAGTGTGGTAGGAACTAGGAAGATTAAAACTACGCATAAACCAGAACTGTAGAGACTTCAAATAAAAAACACCATATTATATAGAGTTAAGTATTGTTTTCTTTTATGAAAGGAGTTAAGTATTGTAGTAATCATGCAAGGTGTAATCAATTTATGTCTCTGATTGATGAAAAATAGCTTGTGATGATTTAACAATTTTGAATTTAGACAAGCAACATTGGTAACATCGTGACAGCAGAGAATCCTTCTGTACCCATGCAATGACTAAAAAGTGTACCACATATGAGATTATATCTACATATTCTGGAACTAAAATGGCCATTTTTAACTTAACAAGCCACATTGTCTGCATAAAAAACTTGGTTGTTGGGTGGAAAGAATCGGCATACCTCATCTATCCCAAATTTTGGGCAGAAGAATCGTGAAAAGAAGTCATAATCAGATCCAGCAGGTGCTGGTCCCGTAACAATAACTCCTCTACCATCACATTTTTTAATTTCATTAATGTTAGGGATAATATCAGCAACCTCTTTTCCGGAAGAAAGTTCCACCTGAAAGCCATGCCAGAATCATTTAGTACTAACAAACAAATGAACAATTCCAACTCCTTCCTCTCCATCTTCTTTTTTTAATAAAAAAAATCCATTATAAATTTTCCATCTTTTCAGAAAAGCTTACCAACTCCTCATTTAATATTAGCATCCTTAAAAGATTAGCAATTCTTTCTCTTAGGGAAATAATCGTAGCGGTAGCATTGCCATGGTTCATGACCTCCATTTTAATCTTTGAACAGACATTTTTTAATCATTGACAATGTTGACTCGCCTAATTAAATTTGGACAAATAATAATTTCAAAGCTATTCTACTTTGTAGGCTAAAAATAAAATTGTAAGATTCATTCCATATTACTATTTTCATAACAGTGCAGAGTTCAGAGTATTTACAAATTTATTACCAAAAAGTAGTGGTCAAAGTGTGTATAATTCAATTGATGTTGCCAATCATTTTAACCAAAAAAAAAAGACATGGTAATATCCAAATGTACTAGTTATGAAGGCAACATTCAGAGCAGCATATATCAAATTTTGCCAAATTTTGCCGGATGTTGTAACTTGTATTAAGGGGATATAAGAGGAAGTACGATGAGGTCACCGGCGGTTGATGATTTCCAAACACTGACGACTCGGGCGCCATTCAGAGTCTCCGGAATCGACAGCGTCTCCGCGGAATCGTACTCCACGAGATCGATCATGGGGAAATCCAGCTCGATGAACAGCTTCTCCTCACCCGGGACGCCGCCATCGTTCGCCGGAGGCGGCGGAGCAGGAACCTTCTTGGCGGTCAGGATGCCGGACCTCGTCACGAACTCGACCATGGCGGCGGCGGCGTGCTGCTGCTTCGCGAGGACGGTGGTGAAGAGGAAGTGGGCGGATGCCAGCGTCGCGTGGCCGCAGAGATTCACCTGAAGACAACGACGACGACGCGTGCGGATGAACACAGGGGAGACGAGTAAGAGGAAACCTAGGGTTGGGGGGAAGGGGGAGGCGACCTCGGCGACGGGGGTGAACCAGCGGAGGCGGAACCGCGGGGCGGCGTCGGCGGCGGCGGCGGAGGAGGAGGGGTCGCGGATGAGGAAGGCGGTCTCGGAGAGGTTGAACTCGGCTGCGACGGACTGCATCCACCGCTCGTCCGCCGCCGCCGCGGCATCCTCCCCTTCCAGGAGGCATACGGCGGCGGGGTTGCCCTTGAACGGCTCGGCCGCGAACGCGTCCACCTGCGACGACCGCGCCGCCGTGGCGCCACCGACACGTCAGCGTCAGCATCAGCATCGCGCGGTGGGTCAACAAGAGAAAGGGCGGATAGTGTACTGACCACGGCGTACTGGATGGCGTTCTTGACCATTTCCGGCGAGGCGGCGGCGACGACGACGACTGCGGCGGGCGGCGGCGGCTGCTCCGAATTCGCGCGCGTGCTGAGGTGGCTGCGCAGGCGGGGCACGTTTGTTTATACTTTATAGAGAGTGACCAGTCGTGCTGCAGGTGAATGCTGGTGCTGTGTTCATCAGCACTGACGACATGGAGCTTGGCGGCTTATATTCCTTGTAGGCACTGCCGCACCGGACAAGTGTCACTGACAAGTGGGGCCCATGGACAAGTGGAGCCCTCGGTGTGGGAGCAGTTGGAAAGTTACAAATTTGGAAGGCCTCTCACCAATCACAAAAATTTTGAAGAAAAAGTTGGGAACTAGGGGTGTGTTTAGTTCCAAAGTTTTTTTTCCAAACTTCCAACTATCCATCACATCAAACCTTTCATACACACGCAACTTTTCAGTCACATCGTCTCCAATTTCAACCAAATTTCAAACTTTGGGTCGAACTAAACACAGCCTAGACAAGGCCTAGGTGACTGGAGACAGTTTAATACTACTAGCATATACTCCTCCCATAATACCAAAATATAGCAACATGGTATTATATTAAAACCTACTTATTCAGATTTGTTGTAATATAATATACTATATCATATCGAATGTATTTACTGGTGAGAGTAACTTGGTACTAGTAGAATTCTCCATTCAGTCAAGATGGAAAATGATCAATCAGTTCGGCTCCCATGACAAACCCAATAGCCAACTTCATCATCAGTTCTTCACCTGCTCCCTTCTTTTTTCTATCCTCATATTTCTGACCAGCTAAAATGATAGTCAAGGACAGAGCTCAACCAACCAATTTGGTAATCCAGTTGAAGTTAGAGCTCACGTCAATGCTGACAAACATGTTGCCCGGCAAGCTGATTTGTAACAGGAAAACAAATATTCTGGGCGTAGCAAGGCAGACTACAAACATCTTTACATGGATACTCGAGTAGTCGAGTTTTCGTTTATTTACTACAGCAAAAGCATGCATGCTGCATGAGAAAACAAACAACGACAGAATTTCGTTACTCGGATCAGATTTGGTCCAAGATCACCTCGGCACCAGAAACCTTGAAGTCAGAAGGAGCTACCTCAACATTGAAAGCCTTGATCTTCCCATCGTCAACAAAGGCTGACCACCTAAAACGGACAGCAATACTTTTAGAAGAGAAGTAAGAAAAATCTATCCATTAACCAGTCACATTTCACAATCTCTTAAATGACAAAACATGTAAATTACATCCTCAAAAAAAAAAAGTGTACCACAGCATGAGCTGTCCATGGAGATTATGGAATGGCATTTCAGGCTTAGCCAAATGCATACATTGTGTCACCAGAGTACTATTTACAACAAATGAAAGGGGGCACACAAGGAGGTTCAAAAGTGACTCAATGTTGAATGATGTTCAACTTTGCGGAATCACGCAACTACATATTCCTTCACAAAAAAACATGCAATACATGCACCTGGTGAACCATAATTATGTTCCAAATATGCACCTCAGCTCTTTTGTTTGAAATTTCAATGCACCCATAGATAGTTGTGCAGCTAACAAGGGCATGCTAAAGTGCGACACTTAGGAAGTGGTTTGGATTCATTTATTGGAGTCTTTTGAGAGGTTAGCCTCAGTGCAGTAAATTTTGTCACAACAACAGCAAAATCCATTGGAAATCGACTGAATAAGACTCACACTTAAATCATGTATAGGCATGTGCATGCAGCTTGAAGTAATTGATCATTTACAGTCATGAATCATGACAGTTTAACAGTAGGGAACATGTGTAGATTAGCAATGCCGCCAATGCAGAATGTCCTTGACAACATAAAACATGCTCAAATATGATAATGAATGCAATGCACTTTGAAGGGTAAAGCTACAGTAAGGAAAAGGAGTACTTGAGTTAACCCATGGTAAGTAATAAGTTTAACACAATGATTTAATTAAACAAATAAAGCAAAAGGCAACTGAAATACGTTGTTTTATGTTCAATTGTAATTATATAAAACAGGCAGCAGTTTTAACTTTTTAAGGACATAAACCAAGTTAACCAAAGTAAAATTCATTGACCTGTGGGAACGGCGGCCAAGCAAAGCAGCAGAGAGGTCTACTTCCAAATCCAAGCTTTTGTGGAAACTCCCATCAAAATCACCATAAAATTCAATCTGGTATCAATATTACAAAATCATAGCAGATGGTTAGATTTGAATATTATGTGATTGTGAGCAAGTTTGATATGAACTATATCTGCATGGACTCATGGGACAAACATTCATAAACAATAGCCATCTACAATGGTACGAGACTATGATACGCTGGTCCTTATTATTTTTAAAGTATAGAATATATAACTATTATATACTTGAAGAATGTTTATGTTTCTTCTTACATTAAAGTGTACATTAAACAAATCAGAAGAAAAACATAAATAAATTTAGGTGAACTTGAGGAGATACATGAAATTAGCTTTGCAATTTACTGTTTTACAGGTTATATGATGAAATAAGCACATTACTGGCAGACATGTGCAGCTTTCAATCATTACAAAGTACTGAGGCAGGGAGAGAATACAATAGCATTCAGCATTTGTATTATGGATAAAGTCCACCAAACACAAAGGTGGATATTAATATACCATGCATGATTAGTAAATATAATTAGATTAGCAAAACATACAGCGTGTTTAATGCATTTCTTACTATTTAAGCATATAGAATGGTAACTCACAGCATCTTTTGCCTGTAGCTTTTCTGCCCATCCATTCAGGGCATAAGGGTCATTCACAGAGACACAGATAACAGAGTCAACCCCTTTTGCTTTCAACTTGTCAATGTTATTTTTATAACTAGGGACGTGTGCCTGTGAACAGACTCCTGTGTATGCACCCTGAAATATGTGGTAAAGATAACAGTCACCTATATTATCAGATCAGTAGATCATTCAGAAAGAGAATCGCTCCAGGATATAAGAATTTGGAATAAACGATGAAAAAATTTAGACAATAAACAAATGATATCAAACATATAAAGCTTCATAAATACTAAAAGACAGTTAGAAATCAACTAGGAATTTTGATAGAAATGCCTTATTGGCTGGCTCTGAAAGCAGAATTGTGTGGATAAGTAACATGAAATTTTTACCTTTTTGTTTTTACTATTGCAACCCCAAACCATATTACCCTCACTAGATTGTTTGATTAGATGCAGCACCCTGTTTGCTGTTCAGAGAATAGAGAAGAATCGAAGAAATGGAGAGTTCTATTACCATTTCACCTGTGGGCACCACGAATACCAGGCTTTCTAATTTCTGCACTCCTAATCCGCAAAAGAACTACTCTCAAGTCTGGCATTTCCTACTCCTTAACTTCAAATGTTGGAATTTATCTTGAAAGTTGAAGTAATCGATGCCCAAACTACCTCTTCGCCATGGCCCATGGCTAATGTATGTCACTGTAATGACAGAGGCTACAGGAAGACGAATCCATAATCCCCAATGCGCATTCAGGATGAGTGTATCCACACAAAAAGCAACAAACCGAAGGTCCTCATCTGGTATCCGAAATGTATAGAGTACGCATGAATTTCGGGAGGAAGAGAGGAGGGGAGAGCTTACAGGCAGGCCGAAGATGACCACTTTCTTCCCCTGCAAAAACACGAGGGATCATCAGAAAAGCCTGGCTGAGCAGCAGAGCAGACGAACGTGGGTAGTGTAGGGCTAGCGGCGGCGGCGGCGGCGGGGGCGTACATGGAAGATGTCCTTGAGAGGGGTGGTGGAGAAGTTGGTGGCGACGCCCTCGTCCCAGGAGCGGGCCTTCTGCAGCGACACGCCGGGCGCCGCCGAGACGATGTCGGAGCCGGAGCCCACCGACGCGAGCCCCCTGGAAGCCCACCTCGCCGCCGCCGCCGCCGCGGAGCCGCCTACCGTCGCCTTCCTCAGCAGCGCCGACGCCATCGCGTTCCTCCGCTTTGCTTGCTCGGGGGATGGGGATCAGGTTGCGTCCTGCCGCTTTTTGGGAGGGGAAGGCCGCGGGGCGTGACGCGTCACGAACTCACGCGTGCGTTGTGGGGTGGGCACTGGGCAGTGTAAAACTGGGCGACAAGTGACTGGATTTTTCACATTTCGCACATTTTGGTTCTTTTGAAAAACTTATTTCGCAAATAAACCCCTGGAAAAACTTATCCTAGAAATGGTTCTTTTTGGGGCGCTAGAGTGGCTGGCGCCGTCGTCCAACTGGACGACGGCGGCCTCTTTGGCGCCGTCCCCCTGCCGACGTGGCGGGGCGATGATGAGGTGGCTAGGGGGAGCGCGCCAGAGTGGCTGGCGCCCCCCCCCCCCCCGAATTTTTTTATTTTTCTTTTATTTTTTTGATATTTTTTGCACGCTTAGGGACACATAAGAACCAACCATAGAAAAAATGAACTCAAATGGACGTAATATGTAACATGTAGAATTTTTCCTCTCCTCTCATATCTCTCCGAACTAATGCAGAGGAGAGAGATGTGCAACTTTTTTACTTTTATTTTATTTTTTTGATATTTTTTTCATACTTAGGAACTTACAAGAACCAACCATATAAAAAATAAACTCAAACGGATGAAATATGTGGCCTGTGGAATTTCCAAAGCTCTACCGAAAAACTTCTCTCCTCGAAAACACAATCTTGCAAGCAGAATTCGGAGGTTTTAATATCGCCGAACCCGGCGAAGCGGGGGAGGATCGGATGTAACATTTTCTGTAAATGTCCGTGGATATATTATTTGCCTGATTCCGAGTCCGTATGAGAAAGTTACGTCTATTTTAATAAATGACATATTTTGTCCGTTTCGGTAGAGTTTTGGAAAATTTTACAAGTCTGTTTGAGTTTATTTTTTATATGGTTGGTTTCTATGTTCTCCTAAGTGTGAAAAAAATATTAAAAAATGAAATAAAAATAAAAAAATTGCATCTCTCTGTACTGTTTAACTTATGGCTATCATTTCATGTGGTTATATTTTAAATTAGATTAAGTAATTTTATATAGTGATAGAGTGCATTATGTGTAACATGATGATCAAAGGGTTTTACTAAAGGAGTTATGGTCTAATTTTAGTGAAGGTGCAAAGTAGACTAAGTGATATGCTAGCTATTTTCAGACTTAGCTAAGTGGTAGTTCGAGTTTAATTTTTTTTTTGTGGTTAGTTGTATCGTGATCCTAAGTGTGAAAAAACATTCGAAAAAATAAAATAAAAATGACACCATTGCAACTCCATACAGAGAAACAGGAATGGAGGCGAGGGGTGGGGGGCGGGGGGCGGGGGGCGGCGCCAGCCATGCTGGCGCCCTCCTCCTGCCCCGTCGGTTCACGTGTGCCACGGTGGCAGGAGGATGGTGCCCCACCCTGGCGCCCCAAAAAGAACAGTTTCTGGGATAAGTTTTTTCAGGGATCTATTTGTGAAATAAGTTTTTTAAAATGACCAAAATGTGAAAAATCCAGCGACAAGTGATAACTGGCAAAACCAGTGAAATTTTAGAGAAGTTCTGTCAAAATCTTGAATTCTAGTTTGATTTTTTCTTTCATTGGTCGGATTATCAGGCAGCCTTAAACCCTTGTTTGATGCTTAGGAATAGTTTCTACCAGCTACAACTATTCTTACCAGCGTCAACTTCCCCTGCAATCCGTCCAAATTCTAATCTTAAGATTTTGGGTGCATTAGCTTACCGGCCATACTTAGCCAACATATATCAATAAAAGTTGTCGTAATTGTCTAAGTTGAGACGACCAAATCCATTCTGACACATTTAGATCTTAGGTTCAGTTTGGGAGAGCTTCTAGCAGCTACAGCTTCTCACGTAATCTTTAGCTTCTCCCAACAATCTAGATTATCAGTTATCACCCGTATTTTAAAAAAACCAACTTCTACAAATTCTCGAAAGCTGGCTACCAACCAACAAATTCTCGTAATCTTAAAACTCTCCGAACATAGCCTTAGGAAATCTCATCATACCTTTTAAAGTAATTGACATATGGGATCTAATTTGTTAAAAAAAATCCTACCAATATTATGGTACCAACTAAACAGCTACCAAGTTGATCAAACTTGTAGCAAAAGAGTGACGGGCAACCAAACACCCCTAGGGCTGTGTTCACACATAGGTGTTCCCATCCTGAACAGTGATTACGGAAAATGGAGCGGTCTATTAGCGTTTGATTAATTAAGTATTAGCTAATTTTTTTTCAAAAATAGATTAATTTGATTTTTTTAAGCAACTTTCGTATAGAAACTTTTTACAAAAAAACGCACCGTTTAACAATTTGAAAAGCGTGCACGCGGAAGAGGGGATAGCGAACAGAGCCTAGCATCTACATAATCCAAAAACTAAGCCAAAAGCTAGAGTTATCCGACTTATTCAGATTCTCATCAGCTGATTATAGCTGAATTCTTTGTAATCTCGCCAGCAAAATAACCAATGGACATATCTCAAATTATCTAGCTCCCAAAGCGGCTCGAGTTCGATAACTGTTTATTCAAAAATCCACGTCGATCAGGAAAGGATCTATCAAGAAATAGCAGAGAGAGAGAGGGGGCAGCGGAACTAAATAAACTAGTTGTGACTTGTGACCACTCTTTTCTATTAATGTAAACAGAAAATTTTATAAGAGTTTGAAAGGGTCAATTAGCCCTAGAGGGGGGGTGAATAGGCTAATTTAAAACTTTATGTGAAAGCTAAAACTGAAATAAGGTCGGAAAGTCTGATCCACAGTCAGACTATCCGAAAATATCAGATAGTCTGAAGTTGGATCAGACTGTCTGATCCACCAATGAAGCACAACTAGATCTATCACACAAACAAGAGTAAAGCACAAACAGCGACTAGATCTATAGCGACACAATTAAGCAAAGCTAAAAGGAGGATGAAGGAAGATTACCAATGATGTTCACGAAGTTGTTCCCGGAGTTCAAATCCTTGAGGGGATTCTACTCTCCGTTGAGGAGCTCACTAAGAGCCGGGTCTTTGCTAACCCTTTCCTCAAGAGGTTGCACTAAGCACTCCTCCTTCCACTAAGGGGTATCTTTTTCCTTGCGGAGGCGAGATCCGGCCTTCACAAACTTCTCTCGGCCAACCACACGTAGATCGGTGGCTCGGGAGTGACACCTAGCCGTCTAGGAGTCCTCAACCTCCAAGAGTAACAAACACCACACAACTCTTGGTCAAACCCTAGTGCTCAAGATCGAGTGAAACACACACTAGGCCCTCAAACACCAAATCCACAACCACCAAGATACACCACACAAAGAACAAGGAGGGATTTGAGAGAGGGAGAGAGCTCAAAGATCCAAAGCACCTTAGCACCAAGCTCAACCCAAAGTGAATGAGAATGAAATGAGTTGGGTAACCCTAGAAAAGGGTTAGGTGGGGGGTATTTATAGACCCCCCCCCCCAAAAAAATGTGGCCGTTGGAGGGAAATCTTTCAGCCCACGTCAGATAGTCCGATACAAGATCGGATAGTCCGATATTTTAAACCTCCAAGGCAACGAGAAACAGAAAACGAAGTTCCATGAAATTTCGAACTTTCCGAGACATCGGACTATCTGATGTTAAATCGGAGTATCTGATATTTTAGAAGCAAAAACTTCGTCCTCAAACAGAGAATCAAGTTCTATGAAATTTCGGAGTCTCTGTATCATCGGACTATCTGATCCGACATCGGATACTCCGATACTTAGAAAAACTCACTCGATAGGATTTTTTTAAATCAAGACAGAGAGTGAAGTTCTGTGAAAAATCGGATAGTCCGATACATCGGATAGTCTGATTTCAAATCGGATAGTCTGATGTTGCTCAAGTAAAACTGCAATAACTTTTTACTCCGAACTCCGATTTCGAAGATCTTGGAGTCTATGGAAAGCTAGTTTCGTGGGCTATCAAACCCAACATAAAACATGGTCCAAAACCTTTAAGAGATGTTGAAAAACTTGCAAAGAAACCCGGTGTAAGTGTTGTGACAAGTGAAACAACTCGGGATTGAAATTTTGACTTAGGTTTTTCAACTCACACAAAGATGAACCATTTTGAGCACTAGTATTCTACCAATAATATGCATGTGGTTTCCCTCTTAATAGTACGACATTCCTACGACACAATGTAAGGTAAAAGATACAATATACCATTTGATCATTGCCACATTGCATCGTGATGTCGCATTCATGGGGTATGCATCTCATTACAACATGTCGAGGACATAACAACCTTCACATTTGCTTGAATAAAAGTGTTAGTCCTCTCTAATCGCATTGTAATCAATCATCAAAATCATTAGGGACCTAGATGCACTTTCAATCTCCCCCTTTTTAGTGATTGATGACAATACGATTAGATCACAAGAGAGAATGAATATAATAGATGATTTTGGTGCAAAGATTTAGTAAAAGCTCCCCCTAAAAGTGTGCATTAAAGCAAGTAGAGAGCTCCCCCTAAATCTTTGCATCCACATTGAAGCTCACAAGACAACAAATATATCACATTACATACCAAGCATTCATAATTAAACAATAATGTCTTACAAAGCATTAAACTAACTTAAGAAACACACATCTCTCATACAAATAAAAACCACTCATGATCGACCATAATAAATAAAAGGATAGATCTTCTCCCCCTTTGGCATCTAAGCACCGAAAAGGGAGGATTTTTGCCGGAATTTTGATGAAAACATTTTGCAAACTTTTGGAAATGAATTTTTTAAGGGAATTGCACCGGGAATTTTGAAGAGATTCAATTTTTCACAAACTTTTGATGGGAGTTGGAGAGAAAGGAATGGCCGAACATTCTGGCCCCATTTGAGTTCATGGCTAGCACACAATCAACCACACAAAACAATAGCCACAAGTCAAATGGATGATCCAAAAATCAAATGAGAGTGAATTATCATGAGACAAGATGATTCACCCTCGAGAGAGGGAATGTACGAATCTATAGCAAATTGTGCAAGGACCAAAATTCATTAGAGAATGAGATCCCCGTACACATAGATTCAAGCTATCCACTCAGATTATGACTAGTGTTCATTCATGAATT